GAAAGTTTAGTATTCTGGATTTCTGTGTGTAGATTTTGTATCGTTTCTAATTTTTCATTTATTTTGTCATTTTGTTCTTGTATTGTGTTTTGAAATTGTTGTAGGGTTTGCCTCAGTTTTGTCAGTGTTTTCCTTGATCTGCCTCTCAATTTGTTGAAGATACCTAAGTATAAGTCTTTTCAATTCCTTATCAGTGAGTTCCAATTCTGCATCTTCTTCAGGGATGTGTTTCAGGTCTGTAAACTTGTCCCTTGTTTCTCCTGCTTTATCTTGCTTCTTTGTGTGCACTGTGATGCTCTGTTGTCTCCAAGGCGTTGTGATGTTTTTGTGTTTATATTTAATTGGTGATTGTATGCTGTAGTGACTTGCCCACTATTTTAGTTTTCTTTGTATGTTATCTACATAAGCAGGGTACTGTGCTGTGCTCCTCTATACACTAGTTGACAGCACTTATGCACTCACCACCTGTCTCCTTTCCTGTTGTCCGCCTCTCATATGTCCCTACCGTCCTTGGCAAATGGAGCCTATTTTAGGTCCCTGGAATCCGAATGAGAATGCTGTCACTTTAAATCCAAAATGACCACCACTTGTAAATATTCAAAATGGTTGCACTCTCAGTTACTTTACATATCCAAAATGGTTGCCACGTGTAAACAATCAAAATGGCTGCACCCTCTGGGCAGCCAGAAGTCCATAGCTTAGGTTGTCTCCCTCGTTGCTGTTTCCCTTCCTACTCATAGGTCACCTTTGTGACCAGGGCTGGTCTTTATGTCAATTCTCAGGTCCCACACCACTTGGAAATATTCAGGGTGTTGGTCGCATCAGAGTGGCTGACAGTCCACAGCTCTGACTGTCTCTGTACTCACCTTTTTCATTCAGGTTTTTCCACTGGTTGGTGCCTAATCCACTTCTGTATAGTTCCTTCCAAAGCTCAGAGCTCCAGGATTATCTTCTGTATCTCTGTCAATTGCTTTATCTTTTCTTAGTTGAAGAGGGTCTGTGGAGCTTCTCTGCATATTCTGACATCTTACCAGAAGTCTCAATTTCTAGACTTTCTTAGTAAATACAAAGATGTGGCAACATCAAGTCTCTTAGCCTGAGTGGCATCAGTCATGAGAGCTAAATACCAGTTGCCTTTTGAACAAAGCTTGCATTTTCAATTAGCCACAGAACTCACTAGACCCATTTCACTTGTGTCTTGTGTATGCCTGGCTTCTGTGGGCATCTGAGTTTATTATGTTTGTTTCTATTGTAATGAAAAATAATTTGGAAATTTAATCAGGCATCGCAAATTTGTACCATAGTTTATTATTCTGAGTTTGTGGGTACATAACTACTTTGGTTGGTTAGAGGGAAAGAAGAATTGACTACAGGATGGCTATATGTTGACTCAGTTCCACTTTGTATTTGAAATTAACTCTGCTCTGTCCTTCAGGTTTTCAGATTACTAAACTTACTGTAGAGGAACCTGAGTTTAACTCAGTGAAGGTAAACCTGCCAATAATTCGAAATTCTGGGACACTTGGCAATGTTACTGTTCAGTGGGTTGCCACCATTAATGGACAGCTTGCTACTGGCGACCTGCGAGTTGTCTCAGGTAATGTGACCTTTGCCCCTGGGGAAACCATTCAAACCTTGTTGTTAGAGGTCCTGGCTGACGACGTTCCGGAGATTGAAGAGGTGAGAGGAATGGCTAGTTTAGAATGACACTGTTTTATAATGACTAGAGCAGACAAATTTTCTGTGACATTTTAGAAAGGATATCAAAGTATTTCTGTGTGAATGTTCAAAATAGTGAAACATACAATAGCATAAGATATTATACACTGGTATATGATAAAATAATATAGATATAATAGTATAAGATACAGGTAACAAAAACAAGACTATTGTATAAATAGGTCATGTACAAATGTCAGTTTACTAGTAAATATGTTTTTGTACAATTATATTGTACCTTTTAACATTTTGGTTAAATTTTTACTATGTTCCACCTAAAGTGTTAATTTGCTTGCATTTATAATTCATTTTTGTTTGAGTATGAGTCAGTCAGTCTTAATTAAGTGTAAATTTTTATTCCATAGTCATTCATTTATTTAGTCTTCCACAGTTATTGAGAATTTACTATATGAAAAAAAGCGTGTTAGATACATGCTGGTATTTTCTTGGTATTTATTTTTTGTGTTAAAGAGGCAAAATGGCAAAAAAGATAGTCTCACTGGGAAAGTTCATTTATCACTAATGTATACTGACTGAAGATAACTTTGTTTTATGAACTTTTGCAGGAGAAAAATCATAAAATTTTGAATGTTTAATGTGTTATCTCCTAAAAATATTAGATATTAGTTAATAGATACAAAACCTTTATCTTTCCTTCTCTCTAAATTTAGATGGTACTATGATGTCATATTTTTTGTTTTAAATTTGGTCCAAGAATTTCCAGTTAAGATAATGTGGAAAATAAAGCATAATAGATTAAATATCCATTATAAGTATATGCGTTATTATTGTCCCCAAGTAAAAGAGAGGTGTAGGACATAAAAGTCATATTATTGAAATGGTAAATACAAACAGGATTCTTAATATTCACTCAGTTATGTATATAACTGAATAGTAAGCAATTTAACAGCTTATATTTCTTATGTATAATCATGCTCTATTATTAAAAGTTGATGATTCTGTTTCATGCTGGGCTTGAAAATGTAATTGGGACGTTTCCTTGAGTTCATTTATATTTCATTTCATTTTGGTTTTGTACTTGTATGTTTTATATTTTTCTGCATCATAATTATTTTAATTTCAGAACTGGGATGCTGTTGACATTTTCACTGTATTTTTAGGTTATCCAAGTGCAGCTAACTGATGCCTCTGGTGGAGGTACTATTGGGTTAGATCGAGTGGCTAATATTACTATTCCTGCCAATGATAATCCTTATGGTACAGTAGCCTTTGTTCAGTCTGTTTATCATGTTCAAGAGCCTCTGGAAAGAAGTTCCTGTGCTAACATAACTGTCAGGCGAAGGTATATGATCTGGATCTGTGGGAGTGGTGGGCTGGTGGGGAAAGATTTCTTGCACAATTACATATTTTAGGTTTGTTGGGTTTTCTACACTGTAAATTATTTTGTAGGTTGTTATAATTTATTAATTGAATTTTGTCTATTGCTGTGAAGAGAGCCCATCGTATATATTTTACCTATTATCAGAGCCTGGTGGCACAACGGTTAAGCAATTAGTTGCTAATGAAAAGGTTGACAGTTCACACCCACTCGGCAACTCCACAGGAGAAAGACCTGGTGATCTACTTGCATAAAGATTGGTGGTGTTACTGTGTGCTGTCATTCATTTCTGACTCATAGCAACCCTATATTATGGGGTAGACCTGTCCCATAGGGTTTCCTGGGCCAATAGGCTTTATGGGAGCAGAACGTCAGGTGTCAGGTCTTTTCTTTTGCGATGCTGCTGGTGGGTTCAAACCACCAAGCTTTTGGTTAGCAGCCATGTGCTTAACCATTTAGCCACCAGTGCTCCTTCTGTAAAGATTACAGTCTAGGAAATAGTATGGGAAAGTTCTACTCATGTCACATAAAGTCACCATTAATAGTAATTGACTTGATGTCACTCAACAGCAACAACAGCGACAATGTTGTTAATGAAATGGTTAATGGGTTATACGTCATTGGGCTTTCTAACCCTAGAAATTCACCTGTGATTTGTTAGAATTAGAGGTTAAATAAAGACCACTCAGATACTTTGTGAAGTGGTTAATTTTTAGGTTCTTTTTTTTCCTCCTCCATTTCTTTTGTGAGTCAGCGTACTGTTCACTGAGCTTCTTCAGAACTAGAAAATATAGCTTACTGGGTCCTTGTCACAAGTAATTTTGTTCCTTCAAAATGCTGATATTGTTGTTACATTGTTTCAGTAATGGAAATTAGATTAATTTTCTATTTGAGAATTCTGAGATGTATATTATTTCCATATTGCAAGGTATTTTCATAACTTGATTGAAAATAAGTCTTGTTTGAAAATTAGCAAGGTTTCCTTACATGAGAAAACAAAATATTGAAAGACATATGTAATTAAAAAACAAACTGTGTTTTAAACAGTGCTTAAAACATGTCTGAAAGAGAGAATGAAAACCACAACCAGCGTTTCTTTTCTGTGCGTGTAATATACATGTTACTTTGAGTGCTTAACCTGTTTTTTAACTGTCACTCCATGTTTTAGCGGAGGGCACTTTGGTCGGCTGCTGTTGTTCTACAGTACTTTTGATATTGATGTAGTGACTCTTGCTGTTGAGGAAGGTCAAGATTTACTGTCCTACTATGAATTGCCAGTTCAAGAGGTGCCAGACCCACTCTGGAGAACTTGGGTGAATGTCTCTGTAGTGAAGGAACCCCAGTATACCTGTGCCACTTTGTGCCTCAAAGAACACGCTTGCTTAGCATTTTCATTTTTCAATGCTTCTGAGGGCCCTCAGTGTTTTTGGATGACATCATGGGCCAGTCCAACTCGCAACAACTCAGACTTCTGGACCTACAGGAAAAACACGACCAGGGTAGCTTCTCTTTTTAGCAGTCAGGCTGTCGCTGGTAGTGATTATGAGCCTGTGACTAGGCAATGGGCTGTAATGCTGGAAGGCGATGAATTTGCAAATCTCACGGTTTCTATTCTTCCTGATGATTTCCCAGAGATGGATGAAAGTTTCCTGATTTCCCTTCTTGAAGTTCACCTCATCAACATCACAGCCAGTTTCAAAAATCAGCCAACCATAGGACAGCCAAATACTTCTACAGTTGTCATAGCATTAAATGGTGATGCCTTTGGAGTGTTTGTGATATACAGTATTAGTCCCAGTACATCTGATGATGGCTTATATGTCGATGTTCAGGAGCAGCCACAAATCACAGTGGACCTGATGATCCACAGGACAGGAGGCAGCTTAGGTCAAGTGACAGTTGAATGGCGTGTTGTTGGTGGAACAGCTACTGAAGGTTTAGATTTTGTTGGTGCTGGAGACATTCTAACTTTTGTGGAAGGTAAGTAATGTTTCTAAATGAATTTGTGTTCTTCCTGGCAAACTTCTCATAATGAATTCTTATGATAGTGTTCATAAGAATTCTTACTTCTTATGACACTGTTCATAAGAATTCTTAACTGTGTATTTTCTTGAGTATATGTAAAAGTTTAATATGGTTTTGGATAAATAGAAGTTAATTGGGTTGTTTGTGGTTGACAAGCCATATGCAGGTTGATATGGCTCTATGTGTATATCTCTTTAGTTTATTAAAAAGAGAAGATTTTCAAAGAATGTGTGAATTTTATTTATATTTTTCAGATTGAAAAAGTATAGTATACTTAAAAAGCTCATGATATATAACAAAATGAAGGGAAGAAATGTTCATAATCTCATACCCTAGAGTGATCCATTTATTCTTTTATTTAGCTTTTTGTGCATATACTTTTTTGGAAACAGTGACTGGGGTTGCTGCATATATAGTATACTTTTTGAAACATCTAATACACATTATATTTTAGAGGAAGTTTTAAAAAATATGAAACATTTCTATAATGGTTATTTTCTAGTAAATGATTTTGGAATAGTGGAATCTGATATACTTCATGGGGGCAGGTTTGTAATTGGGAACATTTTTCTCTATTTCAAAGGGATAATGAAAATTTAATGAGAGTGGAGCTGAAAATTTAAAGTCATATTTTCTAGTGGCTTTAATAACTGTAAAAAAAAGTTATCACATAAAGTAATAGCATTATGTAAATTATGATTACATTGAATTATAATTTCAGTATCAGATAAATGGACTGTATTTTATTGCTAACCTAGATTCTTAGATAATGTATATTCTCTGGGGGCAGTTTTATTACTGCTGACTTGATAGAAAATCATAAGGGTTATGAGTGAGAGAACATGAGTTCAAATCCCCTTTCTCTTTTTTCGTGCCTTTTTTTCTCCTCAACAGAAAGAAGGAGGAATTAAATGTGGAAACCATATGCTGAAATACACAAGGAACACTGTGTTTAGGGTTGTTCAGTGGGGAGCTACGTACTAGTGGGGTTCTAGGCAAAATTAATATCAGATTGCTTAGCACTTGTCACTATCATTTCTCCCTTTGAATTCTTCTTCCAACTTCTTTTCTCTTTGCTCCACAGTCTGGGAACGGTTGCTTAATGCTGTCATCTAGTTATTCAAAGCCTTAACTCATTCAGACTCTTTTCCTTGGGATTTGCCCTATCTTTTCTGTTCCCCATTTTGACCATGATTCTCTAAGTGTTCCTAGTGCTTCAGCTAGGTTTTAAATGATTCCTTGATTCATTGTTCACATGTTCGAAGACTCTACTTTCCTAGAGGGAGCTGTCTCTAAACAGAAGATGATTTAGAAGCTCTTTCCTTGACTAGGCTATGGTTCTTGGCTACAGACCAAAAAGTAAAACCCTAATTCTTTGAAGTTTCTTTAAGTTGTCCATAATTCACAATGACCGTTTCTCCAATCTGTCCATGTTATTGAAATTTCTTTCTTTCTTTTTTTTTAAATTGTGATTTGGGTGAAAATTTACAGAGCAAATTCACTTTCCATACAACAGTTCACATACACTTTGTCTCATGATATTGACCACAATTTACCACAATGCAACATCTCCCCT